AGAGAGAGAGAGAGAGAGAGAGAGAGAGAGAGAGAGAGAGAGAGAGAGAGAGAGAGAGTTAGGGAGTTTCTGACGCCCTCCCTCTCTCTCTCCCTCTCTCTGTGAGTGAACCTCTCATGAGAATGAATCTTCGTCTTTATCGAGGAAGATTCATTCTCGTTGTGTATGTTTGATTTCCTTTCTTTTTTTTTTTTGCTGAATGTTGTATGTTTTTTGTTGTTTTTTTATTTTTTTTGTTTTTCTGTGATGTACTTTTGGTTGTCTGGGGCTCGGCAATAAAGTCCGCGTCTTGGGAATGATCGGGCTACCGGTAGTCCGAGCCTCGGACTTGATAGCTGAGCGAGGTACTTGTTGTTGAAATGTCTCACGAGGGGAAAACGCAACCCTGACGGGCTGCGAACTGCGACACATCCCGCACAGCCACACGCAGACAAGAACAGAGTAAGGCCATGCACCGCACCCCCCCCGCAACTTTCCTTTTTGGGGGGGACCCCTCCAAACTTTTCTTTTCGGGTATGTTTTCCCGTTTCCAGTGCTTGTTTTCGCCGTGGCGGTGGGGTCCCACGGAAACCCGCCAAAGTTTTCCCAAACTCGCTAGGCCGTGTTTTATGGCCGACCTCTTTTTCCAGGCGCCACGCAGTGGGGTCCACCTGTGGGCCTACTGCGTGGCAGCACGCAAACGGGTTGGGCAAACGAATTTCCAAAAGCTCCCGACCCACTACCCCCCCCTGAAAGTAGGTGGTTTTGAATTCAATATATTTTGTATTTCTTAGTCCACCATTGGTTCTTGGCTTTGTGGTGCAGCCTATTTCGGCGTACGTGTAGGAAAAGTCACCCAACTGTCGGGCCTGTGGGACCCGAATTTTCTTTTACGGACCAATTGCGGGGGCCGACATTCCCGAGTTTTTGGTAAAAAAGAAGTGTGGGATCAGATCTCTTGCAGACGGCACCCTTTTTTCCTTCAGATCGACCCCAAAACCACCGCGCTACAGCGCAGAAGACTTCCACAATGTACCCGAAACGGAAATTTCGCTGGCGACAAAATGCAATCGGAGTGCAGCAGCCTCCTGGCTGCGAGCTGCAAGGACAATGAATGACGGATCGAGCGAGCAACGTCTGCGAGATGGCAAACACTTAGGCTGCCAAGCTGCTGCGATGACAGGAACGGGTGTTTTCCCGCCCTTGTAGTAGAGGGGGGAAGGTGACTCGTGCTTTGTGCGAATTGTCGTGTCGAATCGGCTGGCAACGGGCGCACGTCTGGGCAGGGCGGGCTCAGAGGGTGGAATCGCCGAAGGGGCTGGCTCGGCAGCCGACCACAACCATCGCTCGGCTGGGTAGTCTCTCCAACTACAGTCCAATCGTGATCCCGCCGTCGCGCATCGAGCCGCTCTGCTCGACTCCCAGGCTCGCCGGGCCTCCCGTTCGCTCTGGTCCCGCCCCCTGTACGCACTGTACTTCATTGTCCGCATGCCCGCACGGTGCTCCACGGGAGCGCGCGCGCGCGCGCAGCCCTGTTTGCTTCGCCGCGGCGTTGTGGTCCACTCCTCTTCTCCCACTTCAGTGTCTGACGTAACGCCGTGGTGGGTGACACACACACAGAGGGGGTACGAGTATATCGCAACAAGACAGCGTCTATGGTAAGGTTCTGATTAGGATATGGAGGGCAGAACGACGTGGAGCGATCGGAGATGGCGATTAATGAGAGGAAACACAGATTGATGAAGAAGACAGCCAGCTGTGGATAGATAGGCGTGTACTGATTGATACGAAGGAGATTGTGGCGTGCGTGCGTGCGGACGAATAAGCAAGGGATTGAAGGAACGAAGGAACGCACGCGTACTATTCAATGCTTTTGCTTTATTCCTTGGAGCAGCACTGGGCCGCCTCCCTCACCTCTTCATGTTCCGGACTGTCTTCATGTTATTATACCTCTTCCTTTAGGCGTTCATATTTCTCAAGCATTCAGCTGTCTTTGCACACATTTGAGAAGCTCATTGTAGGGAAGTGAAAGGAGGTAGCGGAGGCAAGGAGGCAAGGAGGTACGAATAAATCGCGGCGGAGTAAAGAACAGGTCTCGGCGGAGGGCCTGTAGGAATAGGAAGGAGCGCCCTCGTATCTCCGCCTCCCCTGTATTCTTCCTGCCGCCTTGTGAAATTTCGATGATACGTGCGTCGTCGCTGCTACAGTCCGTCCTCTGCTTCAACTGATGAGACGTCCAATTTTATAGGGCGCGTTCGGCCCGGTTCGTGGGCCTGTCTTTCCCTCGCATTGGGTATTGCACGGCTCTACCATTCTCTCGCGGGGTCAGTTGGATGTTGGGCAGTTGTCTGTATGCATGCTCCCCTGCACCGGCATCATGGGGGAAGCTGATTGATGAAGTGGAGGTGTGAAGGATGGAAGGCGAGTGACGCAGGCGCGTGAAAGAGGCGAATGACTGGTGTTCCGTAAACTGTGTCCTCCATAGGCATTGTGACTACATTATACGTCGAGTCAAGTCTCGGCGGCTGGCGTTGGCACGGGGGATTATCTCCGCCTCGTTTTCTTCAGGATCGAACAGACGGGCACCGTGGAGTGGAGTGGGTGGCCTGCGTCTCCTCTGTTCGTTGACGCAGTACGTCTGCGGACCTGCTTTTTCAGCTACTCTACCTCGGTGGCGCATTTTCTGTTTCGTCTGTTTGGTTTTCCCGCCCACTCGCGGTTGCTGCCCCTTGCTTGGCGGGAACGGCGGTCATCGGGAAGCTGTAGTCGGCGGCGACGGTGCTTCTCTTTATCCTGCTCATGTCGTCGGCGCTCTCGCTCTGTGTGCAATTTCTTGATTGCGGCCGTTGAAAAATATCTATACGTGTTATCAGCGTGCGGGAGGGCGGATTGCTCATCTTTTGGCGGTTGGCGGGGAAGAGAGAGACGGGCGACAATGCGGTGGTTTGGAGGGATACCGCCGTTGCTCTGGGCCGTACTGCTGCTGTGCGCGAGTTCGACGTCGCTTGCCCAATGTCCGCAGGGTTATTCAGCGGGCTCCAAATCGGGGCTATGYCTGTTGGCGGGCGGAGGCCCGAAGACTTTYCTGGAGGCGGAGGCGTTCTGCGCTAGCAACGGGGGTCACCTGGCGACGATCTTCGACAAAAACGTTTTGAGCGAYGTGCTRGAGGCGTGTGCGGCGGCAAATGGGGGTAACCAAACTTGCTTTGTGGGAGCGCGGGTGGAGCCGGAGACTAGGTATCCCAACTACAGCTCGTGTTCGATTGGACAGTCTCAGTCAGAGTGGATGGGAAGCCGGTGGGTGTGGAGGGACGGGTGCGCGGGCGTTCTGGTGGATCTGTGGTCTTGGTATGGCGGCAATGGCACCGCGCTGAACTACGCGACGGGGGCCACGTGCACGGCCACGCAGGTAAGCGACGGGACAGGATTGTACCCGGCATTGTGCGATCGGACGGCCGGCTTTGTGTGYGCGCAGCCAGGTGGATGCCCCTCGATGCCGATGTCRACTGCGGCGTCTAAGGGAACCGCGCTGATGGCGGAGCAGGTCGCGGCTCTTCAGAGCATCAAATCGGCGGTGGAGTGCGATGCATTCAATCTGCTGGACAGTTGGGAGGGCGACTACGCTTGCACCTACAGGGGCGTGTACTGCTTGAGCACCGGAGAAGTTGTGGGCCTGGTGCTGGAGGATTTCCAWCTCCAAGGCACGCTGCATCCTGCCATCGGCAACTTGACGCAGCTGGGATTCGTGCACATTGCCGGGAATCATTTTGCGGGGACGCTGCCAGAGGAGATGAATCAGCTGAAGCTCCTCGCCGAGCTGGACATGTCCGACAACGAGTTTGGCGGRCTTTTTCCRAACATCACGGGACTGACGGGTCTCGTGTATCTGGACATGAGGTTCAACAAGTTCTTCGGCCCCATCCCGGATTGGGTGTACTCGCTGCCGTTGGACGTGCTGGTACTGAACAACAACAACTTCACGGGCCCGCTGTCTTACGCCGTGGGGGAGTTGAAGAACGCRTCGCTGATGATCCTCGCGCACAACAGTCTGAAAAGTGCGATTCCGGAGAGCATCGGGCAGCTGCAGAGCTTGGCGCAACTGCTGCTGCTGAACAACTCGCTCGGCAGCAACGAAACGAACATCACGGACCTGTCGTCGATTGACTCGAACACGTTCAGCGAGGCTGGCCCCGCGCTCCCGTACTCGATCACGAACCTGTCGACGCTGCTGCTGTTGGACGTGAGTCGGAACAACCTAGAGGGCGACCTTCCGCCGACTCTTCACAGAATGCAGGGTCTCGTTGAAATGGCATTGAGCAACAATATCATCACCGGCGAGTTTCCGCCGAACATCACGGCTCTGACGAACCTGACGTCGCTGGACCTGTCCGACAATGTTCTGCAAGGCGATGTAGCGCCTGCATTTGAGATCCCGAATCTGAAGACGTTGGTTCTTCGGGGAAACTACTTGACAGGCACGATACCGAAGAACAACATCACCTTGGTGGATGTCAGCGGCAACTGCATCTTCGATAACTCAGGTGGAGAGCAGAAGCCCGACGACACTTGCGCCATCTTCTACGGTCGTGTCGTGTACGAGTTTTGGCGCCAGCCCAAAAACTCGGAGAACGTCGTTCTGCGCTTGTGGGCCATACGGCCGAGGTATTTGGTGCGCTTCGTCTTCGCGGGCGGCAATCACACAATCAAGGGGACGGGTTCTTCCGTCGACATGTTCCACGGTCATGGCACCGACGATGACGTCCGCGGAGAGGGCTATACCTTCAGGAGAGTCTTCCGCGGGGAGTCTATCTATGGCTACACTTGCGCCGTTCATCAYAATCACTTCGGTAGCGTTCGTGTCCTCGAGGARGGAGAGCTGGAGAACAAGACGTTCACGTTCAGCAGTAGGGCGGCGATCTGCAAGGAGGCGAATCCATGCGCGTATATTGGAGACAAAGCTGCGCAGTGCATTAGTCAACCGTCCAACGCCGATTTTCCTTTCGTCTGTAGCTGCAGTGCCGGTTGGACCTTCATCGGGTATTCCTGCTACCCGGGCAAGAGGAGGGCGAATCCGTACGCGGGTGGCGCGAGCGCTGGAGGAGCGAGGGGAGGGAACAATAATGGCGTAAGCATCGCACCGTCTGCCTCATCACCCGGCACGGAGAAGCCGACTCTTCCATCGCCGCCGACTACATCGGGCTCTTCTTCGTCGGGCGATGCCAGTGACCCTTGCTCACCTGGAGGTGAGTACTACGCCTCCTGCAGGCGATACGGTGATGACAAGGCGAGGTGCCGACTCGAAGTCTGCAATGAGCCGTTCACGTGCCTCTGCAGTCCCGGCTTCTCTCTGGTGAAAGATATACGGCTCGATGGGAAGCGAATGTCGACATGCAAGCCCTTAGACGCTTCAGGAGGGGCCAAGTAATGAGAGGAGCGTGGGTCGTGATTATAGTTAGGAAGAGGGAAAGTTGTCTTCTTCACCTCGCATTCGTTATGGCAGTTTGCATTCGATTAACATCTTTGATGCATCATCATTTCTTAGAGCCGCGCGTGGTCAGTGGAGCCATCTTCACTCCATTTGATGGCAGCAAAGCATGGCGGGGGCCGGAGTGTGTTCTGCGCTGGGAAGCTCTTCTGGACGATCACTAGATAGAGCATCCGCCATGCCCTAGAAGGCACCACAATTCGTTTCATAAGTGCCCACGAAACATCATTTCTGTATCCGTTCGTCGATCGTTGAGCGAAGGCTAGAACACGGCTGTGGCTGGACACACCAAGCCACGGAGTGCAAGAACTCTGGGCGTGCGTGTGTGCGCGTGCGTGTATGTGTGTGCGCGTGCTTGTGTGTGTGTTTGTGTGTGTGTGTGTGTGTGAGTGTGTGTGAGTGTGTGTGTGTGTGTGTGTGTGTGTGTGTGAGAGAGAGAGAGAGAGAGAGAGAGAGAGAGAGAGAGAGAGAGAGAGAGAGAGAGNGAGAGAGAGAGAGAGAGAGAGAGAGAGAGAGAGAGAGAGAGAGAGAGAGAGAGAGAGAGAGAGAGAGGGAGAAGACGCGGAAGAGAGGCGTGGACGGGAGTGCGACGAAAGTACCTTTCAACCGTTTGGTTGATGAAAATTACCACATAAATTATATAGACGGTGTTTGATGGAAGTTCGAAAATTTTGTATATCTCCATACCAAATCTGGCGGTGGCGGGATCTCGTGACGGCGGCCGGACGCTGGTGTAATAAAATATCGTTGTATTTTTCACGATATGAGTTTTTATAATTTCGAGTGGATGACGCGCTTTGTTGGCGGACGGTACAACACATTTATTGTGTTGAAATCACTTCACAAGGCAAGTTATGGCGTCGTTTAAATCACTTCTTCTTCTTCTTCTTCTTCTTCTTCTTCTTCTTCTTCTTGGTCCTCGTAATCCTTTTCTCCCCCCCTTTCTACCTTGAATACCCTGACCCTTCCCAACCTCGCCCACCGTAGCCCGACCCTCGCCCGCTTCTTCTCTTCTTTTCTTCTTGGTCCTCGTAATCCTTCCCCCCCCCCTTTTCTACCTTTAATACTCCCTCCGCGGACACTCCCTGACCCTCCCCGACCTCGCCGACCCTAGCCCGAACCTCGCCTGCTTCTTCTTTTCTTTTCTTCTTGGTCCTCGTAATCGTTCCGCCCCCCCTTTTCCACCTTTAATACTCCCTCTGCGGACACTCCCTGACCCTAGCCCGACCCTCGCCCGCTTCTTCTTTTTTTCTTTTCTTGTTGTGGTTGTTGTTCCTCCTCCCCCTAATCGTTCCCCCCTCCTGCTCCCTCCCCCTGATCCTACCTCCGTCCGCTTTTTCTCCGCCCTCCCGTTTAACCTTTTTTTTTTCACTAATCAATCAATCAATCAATCAAACGGCCAATACAATAAAGATCAACCAATGTTGATCTTTATCGGCCGTTTGATTGATTGATTGACTGATTGATAGGTTGATTGATTTAAAAAATAAGCGAACAAACAAACAGCCCCTCCCCGACCCTTCTTCTTTTTGTCTTCTTCTTCGTCTTCGTCGGCGTCGTCTTCGTCCCCGGTAATCGTCCCTCCCTCCTGCATCCTCCCCCTGATCCTCCCTCCCCCTTCTCTCCGTCCTCCCCTCCCGCGCGTCCTTCCCCCTACCCGCGACCCTCCCCGCTCTTGCGTGCCCCTCCAATATCGCATCAGGGGTCTGTGGGCCCTTTAATCTTTGAAGAGCTTTTAGTTTACTAATCAATCAATGAATGAATGAATCAATCAATCAATCAATGACACGGGTGATGAAGATCAGAGGCCGTTTGTTTGATTGATTGAAAAAAAAAAAAAAAAAAACTCGGCTTTCTCCTTTGCCGCGGCCTCCTCCTCCACGTCCTCCCGCGCCTCTTCTTCTTCTTCTTCTTCTTCTTCTTTTTTTCTCCTTTTTTTCTCCTTTTTTTCTTCTTTTTTTCTTGGTCTTCGTCTTCCTCCTCCTGCTCCTATAACCCACCTCCTCCTCCTGCCACGTCTCTCTCTCTCTTTCTCTCTCTCTCTCTCTCTCTCTCTCTCTCTCTCTCTCAGGAGAAGGAGAAGGAGAAGATCGAGGGTAGGGGGAAGGTAGGCTGGAGGGTAGGGGGGCCTGGGCCGTGTACCTTGGAGGCCGTTGTCCAGTATCAATGGCAGCTTCCTCGTGCGTGGTTGTCACGGGAGGGCAGGAGATCACGCGTGCGTGGGAGGGGTGTACGTCGTCTCCACTCGTAGGAGGCAGTTGGGCGACTGTTCGTGCGTGGCTCGTCGAAAGGCGCCGCCCCAGTCCCTCCGAATTCGAATTTGAAATCGGCTTGATCTGGGCCGTCGATCTTTGTTGATTGACGGCCCAGATCGTGCCTTTTTATTTCCGAATCCTGAAGGGCCGTTCAGTGATCTGAGACCGGGAGGGTGTTGTGGGGAATGATCAAAGCCCCCAAGGCCCCTACACTGAAATTTGGGACGCATATTTTGAGCAGCCCCCGGAGATTTAATTTCAGGAGTATCTGGGGCCCTTCTCCCGGCCGGATAACCCAGAATTTTCAGGGGTTTCCGGATATCTGGATTTTCTACTTATCTTTCAAGAGTTCCTTACCCTCCCCCACCCCCGTGGTCGTGTCATGTGCATGTCTATTTGGATAAGTTCGATAAGTTCGTTTCTGCCAACACATCGGGTGTAAGGCATTCATAAACAGAGAGTGGTACCATATCTGACGTGATGTAGAACACGACATAAATTACGTTATTGTTAGTTCTCACCTCTCAGTTTTCCCGTATCACTCTCAAAAATCTGGCGGCGCGAAGATTACGATAACGGGTCGACAACAACGGTGTTTCCAAATGTTGTGCGATGATTTGTAATACCATATTTATACTTGCAAATGTGTCAGGGATCGCCAATTGTTGCATCTCCTCCTTCCTGCAATTCTGCGTAAATTCCATGGTTCAGAGTTTGGTGCGTCATTATCTATATGTTCCGTTGCAAATTTTGACCAGGTCGTTAGATGAAATGAATATGGTCAGCGACTCTGCGTGTTACTCTTGAAGCGCTTCATCATGTCGGCGCATGGGCACCCACACACTGATATCATGCTTTGGGCGTACTCCGCCTGGAGAGAGGAGTTATTGGTGGAAACTTCTCTTGGCAAACACATCACTTGGATCAGTTTCACACTTGCAAAGTGAACTGCAAAGGCCACATGTATCACTAATCATCCACCTCACTCTGCTGCAAAACATAGGAGGTGGACCATTGATAAAGTGCATCATAACACACACTTGACAGCATCGACGATAACACACACATCGACGATAACACACACTTGACAGCATCGACGGTATGCGAGGATGGTTAACCACACCACAAATCCTTTATTCTTACAACGTTCCTGGTTCAATCGTACAGATTTTTACTTTTTTCGGGATTAAGAGGTCATGACATGGCTTCAAATATTTTAATACACGACTGGTTTTTTAAATTGTCTATAATGACGCTTTCTGTGCTATGGTTTTCTAAAAAAAACACCACCTTTAACCTCCCACATGGTTCCCAGTCATTTGTCTAGGACATTGCCATGCTAGTGCTGCAAGTTTGGAACCCACACTTGGTAAGTGAACTGCAAACACGTAACTCGGATCGCTTTCACACTTGTAAAGTGTGAACCGGAAAGATAACATATAGCACTAATCATAATCCCCACTCCACTGCGAACCAGAACACACACTTGAAAGCATGGTGATATGCCAGGGTGACACGTCACACCACCTACATCGTATGAAGAATTAGATAACATTGCAGGTTTAATCTTATACTAATAGCGCACTATTTTTGGGCTTTAAATAATTTTGTACATGACTGTTTTTTCATGTCGTATATAATGACATCTTTGCAATGTTTCTATACGACGAGGTTTTGTGCTTCCATTGTTAAAAAAAAAACAAAAAAAAAACACCTTTAACCGTGAATATTTTTCCTGGTCTCTTGTATCCGATATGGCGATACGAATCTGGCGCTTGGGGCCTTGACCCGTAAAAACATCAAAGACGGCTGGCAGCGCCATCCCAAGCAAGCCCTCATACTGCCCCATGTGCAACATACCTCCTTCGACATTCCTTTCGATTGAGCGTCCGCATGGACGGCCGGGAACTTCTTACAATGACCCCTATGGTGGGGGGGAAGGGCTTTCAACAAACCCTTGTCGTTATCATTGCTTGTGTGGCAGCTCTTATTTTCGGCACAAAGAAGTCTTACCTCGACCCCCTGAATGGCATATGCAAATGCCTCTACGTCGGCAAATGATGGGTGTGTCATACACCCTTCTCTCACTCGGACTTCCGCACATATACGTGGCGACTTCTTTGATGTCATGGGGCTGCACCTGACTGCAATGACAGAGGGGGAAACGGAGAAGCCTGTCTTTGGTTTTCCCTACTGATGACGATATAATGATCATTCCACCCGTTTCCAAACAGGAAACCACATAAGGGGGGGGGCTTACTTTCCTTTTCAAGAAGTTGTGAATGTGGGCAGAACGTGGCCGCGAGCTTTAGAGATCAGATGCCACAGATCCATGCATACTCAAAACCAGTCATAAACATCCTAAAAGGATGGGGGGGCCAAGTTTACACCCCGAACGAAGCACAAAAAAGAACATATATTTTAACAACTGCTGCGACATTTTTGGACACCATGGGGATGCTCCTCACTACAATGACATCCACACCAAAGTGGAAGAAGTCATCCCTTCTCCCTTCCCCCCCTCTCGATTCATGACCTTTTTCGTCATCATGACGCCCAATCCCACAAGCTCGTCGACTACCTATGCAACCGCAAATTGACAGGTACCTTGATGGATCTTTAAGCTCCCAATCACACACAATAGACGTCTTGGGTCAGGTTCCCAATGGCAAATACAATTGGTTTGAATGCGTCAATGACAACATGTTTGATGAGAGGATGTCAAAAGTGCAATGAACCCGCTTCTCAGCACCTGTGTGTGAAACAGATAAACATTAACGGGGTTGAATTCCTTTCCCGTTGCTAGTCGGACAGTGGCCCCGGAGGAAAAGGGTTGCGTCCCTTTGTACACCCTTCAGCACATCATGTTGGTTTCACGCTTCTTTTTTTTTTCTGTACTGTTTCTTGGCGGAAGTCACCAACCATCGACAAAAAAAAGAAAGGGAAAAAGAAATAGAAGTTAAAGACTGACTCAACAGTGCAAAGGACGATCACAGCCCTTGCAATCATATATATAATTCGTATGCCTTTTTTACCTATGTATGTGCTGAACTTCGTTGGTATGTTTTCTGCGTTATTCACAATTACACCTGAGTTCGAGTCCTGTGGGCTCAGCGGGTGGGCAGAAGGGGTGCGGCGAAAGTATACATACAATGGCAAACCCCTCACCCTTAAACCTTTTCTTGATCGTGGGTGGGAGGACTGGCCAACGGCCTTCTGCTGTGAAGGCCCACTCGCTAATATAAAGCTCGAAACACAAATGCCTCCCAGATATCTGCGTGGCTCTGTTGGTGTGCTGGTCATTTCATAAGAACCATTGGATGTGTTTGAATCCATAGGCCGGGTAGGGCGGTACGGACTGACGGCAGAAAATGGTCAGCCCCACTTCTGTCTCTCATCCCGCTTCATACGTGGGCGAGTCTGGAAAAAAAAGAGGCGGGAAATCATAGTTGCTCTTAAAATTTTCATACTTCGGGTTATAGTGTATTTTTATTATTAAT